AGACCTAAATAAAGAAAAAAATTAGATTTAAGTTTATATTTATTGAAAGCTATGAACTGCACATATATAATCAAACATGTTGCATGAAAGCCCTAAGTGCTTTCGATTCTCTAAGAATTCCAGAAATGAAGAACAGAATCATGACCCAAACATGAATTTGAAACGCGAACTTTCTCCACTGGAAAAATTGTTGTGCTCTAAAACGCTTTAGAAACTCATTGTGAAAGTTTCCAAGCCTAGAAAGTGTGCAGTAGTTAAGTGAAGTTGGAAAGCTGATTTCTGTTTTTCACTATACCTTTTCGAATTTCAGAAATTTCAGAAACCATTTAGGTTTCCGGGAAAGCCATTCGAAAACGCTTTTGGTTTCCGAGAAAGTGATTCGGAAACCGAAAGGGTATTCTCGGGTACCACTTAGGGTTTCCGAGCTATCGAAATCTCTTTAGGTTTCCGAGAAAGTAGTTCGGAAACTCTTTTTGTTTTCGAGAAAGTGATTCGGAAACCAAAAAGGTATTCTCGGGTACGAGTTAGGGTTTCCGAGCTTTCGGAAACTCTTAAGGTTTCCGAGATAGTGATTCGGAAACTGATAAGGTATTCTCGGATACCTCTTTACATACCCAAACAACTTTTAGGACAGAATCGGTTTCCTAAAATACCCAATAGGTTTCCGAAAATACTAATTTGGTTTGCCCCAATGATGAAAAGGTATTCTAGAATACCCTACGCGCATTGAATTCCGTACTCTCGAAAACCAAAAGGTTTCCGAAACCTCGGAAACCAATAAGGTATTTTCGAAAACGATTTCGGTGATCGGAAACCCTTTCGGAAACCAAAAAAGGTTTCCGAAAGGGTTTCCGAACTGATTTTAGTTTCCTAGGAGACGAAAATTTTTTACAGTGTATATGGATGCCCATTTCATCTGAAATGGGCGTGGCCATTTTTAGAATAACTTTCGATCCGTTAATCTTGTCGAGCTTGAGGTTTCGTTATCGGAAAGAACGAGCTTTGCAGCATCTATCTATATAATATCCATTAGGTTCAAATACGTTTTTTTATGATTGTTTATGCGCCAATATTGTTTTCATTACTTATTTTAATAAATTTTCATGATGACTTAGCCTCAAGATTCACGAAATTGTAGTTCGAATTGTTCTGTATATATGATAAGATCATCACATTATAAAATGATCTCGTTGTAAAGAGATCAGTAAGATAATATAACTATGTGAAAGTTTTACTATATACAGGGGCATTGGGGCAACTAGTCGGTGTCTTTAGAGGTTAGGTTATCATGAACATATATGAAAATAAGTAATGAAAAAATATAAATGTATATAAACAGTCATAAAAGAACACACCCTTGAATCTAAAAGGTACTTGTTAGATAGACATCTCAAAGCTTGCTCTTTCCACTAACGAAATCCTGAGCTCAGTAGGATTAACCGATCGAAACTTATTCAAAAAATGATCACGTCCATTTAATTCTGAATTGTACAGGGTTGGAAATAATATTTTGTCCGGGGGTACTGCTATAATTTCAAATAGAAGACATAATGAATTTTTTATCAAATGAAATCTTGTCAAAAATGGAGTTTATTGATATTAAATAGTAAGGATTATGAAAACTTTTTAATATCGAACTTAAGAATCTTTCAGAAATTTTAAATTTTTTTTGCGGTGAAAAAGTAAGGTGCCAGTAATTCAAAAATGGATTAAAATGTTTTTCTTGGATATTTTTACATAGTTCGATAGAGCTCGTCGAGCTCTACAAAACTGTATGTATTAAAAAATTTGTGAGTTCATTTTTTTGTGATAAAAAATTAAAAAGCTATTTCGAAAATCTTAAAGAATGTTAAAAAAGCTCATATTTCTGCTATGGGAGAAAAACACTCGAATTTTCAATAAAATTAGCTTTTGTTTTTGATTATTTTTATTCCATTAGGCGTTTTGAAATATATTCATTCGATGCAGTTTTTCACGTTGCATCGAATGGGTATATTTTCAAACATTTTACATAAGGATACTAATGGAAAACAGCTGAATTTAGTATAAAAAAAACCACTTTTCCCGATAAAAAATGTAAAAAAATGCGTTTTTTTTGGTACATTCTTTCGACAGTTTTCAGTGAATTTTAACTGAAGAATCCTGCTTAAAAATTTTTTAATATATACAATTTTGTAGAGCACGACGAGCTCTATCGGATCATGTAAAAATATTCAAGAAAAACATTTTGATCCATTTTTGAATTACTGGCACCTTACTTTTCCACCCCGAAAAAGTATAAAATTTCTGAAAATTTCGTAAGTTCGATATTAAAAAGTTTTCATAATCCTCACTATTTAGTATCAATAAACCTCATTTTTCATGCGCTTTCATTTGATATAAAATTCATTATATCTTCTCTTTGAAATTATAGCGGTACTTCCTTGAATAATATTATTTCCAACCCTGTATGATTGAAAATTGATATCCATCTTAAAGCATCTTGAAAGACCTTCTTAGCCATGTCGCCGTATATTTTCGCTTACTCAACAAGTAGTGAGAAATTAAAAGAACGGACACCCTAGTAAGCTCAAGCCAGATGTCTTCTACAATTTAAAACAGTCTCGGGTCATTTTGCACGAAAGGCGTGGGAGAACTTTTGCATTGAAAAAGTCAAATTTTGGGACCTTAAAATTGAAATATCTCAAAATTGGTATGAAGAGATGAGGTGAAACTTTGGATATTTACTAGTGGCAGTACTCCCAATATATCCTCAAAGTTTCATGCGTTTTTGAACGTACCTGAGACGAAATCAGTTTTTGAGGGGGAGGTCTGAAGATGTCATACTTGTTGCTTTCATCAAACTACGATATTATTCGATTTTTCAAAACCTTTTTTTATGAATAATATTGTCTACCTAAGAACTACAAATTCTGAAATTTTCAGCTTAATCGAATCATTTTTCGTATATAATATTAGGTATTCAATGTAATCTCCTGCAGTGTCCCAGAACTTTTGGCCAAGGAGCTAATATTGAAACTTATATAACTTGTTACAGAAACATTCAATTCTAATGCTATAACACTATATGAAAGGTCGCTATTATATGTATCAAAGCACATCACCATTTGCTCATAATAACTTCTTAATAGAATATTATAAGAGCGACAAGTTTGTCCCAGAACTTTTGGCGTGCACTGTAGATACAATTGCGATACATTTTCGAACGAATAGTTTACTAGCATCATTGCTATTATTATTATGTCGACAGAGATCATGAGTTTTTGTAGATACTTTTTTTTCTACTTATTCATCTTTGTTTGCAAAATATGAACAATATAATCAATAGAACTAAGAAATGCAGAGAAATTCTGGAAACAGAAAATGATTCTTTGGATACAACAGAGGAATCAATGAGTGCTATCATTTTGGATATTTCATCCATGAAATCTCCTCCCTCATTACTCTCATCTTCATGTTCACTACCACTCTCATTTTTGCTCTCATCCTCACTCTGATTTTCACTGCCACTCTGATACTCATGTGATTGAAAATAGTCAAGATGAAGCTCCAAATATAATTTTACAAACATTTTCTGTTTTAGATTTTTTGATTTTATGATCACTCTTTTCGTCGTACAATAGTGGTGAATAATCAGTGATCAAACCCGATGAATTATAACACAAAATTAGTTTGGATTGTACGCAATGAAGGTGAAGAAGCTGCAAAAGTTTCCATTGCTTTTGGTCAGATAGAAGATTTGGACGACATCAAAAAATTACTACTTGGTCCAAATAAATAATAATTATACGCGGATCTTTTCAAGCGCACAAAGCTTAGTCTGAATATCCATATTCTAGCGTTTAGAAAAACTGCCTTTCAGAGGGTTACCATTCATAGGAATTGTGTAAAAGATTCATTAAAAAATACAGCATTCAATGTTATTAACATCGACTTACATCAAACTTCATAAAACTCTTTTCTGTATCGCATATGTTAAATTGAGCAAGACTCGAGGATCGCATTCGAGCACTCTTTCTGGATATCGATCCTGGACCTACATAGACTGATTCACAAGTTTTAAAAAGTCTGTATGTTGTTTTTAGATCGATAATAAACCTCAAACTATATTTGAAAAATAGCTGCAAAAACTCGACACTATGGTAGCTTGGTTAGCTTTGACCATTGGTATGAGTCTCATTCATTTGTGAGTATCTATGCGGTTGCTCCGATTTTTAGTGCTCAGGATCAAGTTCTTTAAATCTAATCTTACTTTCTTTAGGTTGTCGTACTCAGATGGATTTGATATAACACGCTACTGGGGTAACTTATCTCCGTATCATCCAGCAGATGGCTTTGGGATTAATGATATTGAAATTCCTTCAGGCTGTGAAGTATCTCAGGTTCATATCTTACATCGACATGGTGAACGATACCCTACGATAGATTTGTTTGACGGAAAAAACACTCAACGATTCGCTTACAAAATTGGAAATGCTTCTATTTATGGAATACTTGGCGCGACTGGTCCACTCGCTTTTCTCAACACATATCAGTATAGATTAGGCTTCGATTTATTGACTGCAGTTGGTGCACAGACCGCATTCTCTTCTGGATCGGCCTTTTGGACACAATATGGACATCTCTTGTACAAAGAAATGAGTAAATCCGTTCTATGGAATGATAGTCTCAACGTCTTTCCCAACGGAACTGCACGCCCGAAACCACTTTTGAGAACAACTGATCAACAGCGAATGTACGAATCAACAAGATGGTGGGCTTCTGGATTCTTCGCTAATTCAGATGATGAATCATCTAGTACGAGTTATGACCTCTTGATCATACCAGAAGGTATAACAGAAGACAATACACTCTTCCCAACTGATTCATGCATCAATAGCGTGAATCATATTGTAAAATACATTGGAAACACAGCCCAACATGTCTTTCATAACAATTATCTTAAATCTGCTCTTGCAAGGTTATCGACTCATCTTAATCCTAAATTTAACTTGACCATCATGGATGTCTTTGCAATGCAAGAAATATGTCCTTATGAAGTGGCCGCCTTCGGATATTCGAATTTTTGTGGTTTATTCACAAAACAAGAATGGATTAATTTCGACTACGGTATCTCACGTCGATTGTACAGAGAATTCTTTTCTGAAAACCCAACTGATCGAGCACAAGGTATCGGATATGTTCAAGAACTTTTAGCACGTCTTAAAAACGAATATCTCTTTGTCAGTCATACATCAGTGGACTCAACTCTTGATAATAATCCTACTACTTTTCCATTGGGACAACCATTCTATTTGGACATGACTCATGACAGCACCATAAGTACAGTGTTGCTTGCTCTTGGTCTGGACTATTTCAAAGGTCCTCCTACTGGTCTTCCTTACAATATTCCACATGCACCAAATCCACCTAAACATTTTCGAGTCTCAGATATTGCACCATTTGGAGCTCGATTATACACCGAAGTTCTAACATGCTCTACACCGAATCCTAAAGTGAACAAAGGACATAGGAGAGCCATTTATTCAAATTTAAATATTAGAAATGGATGGACATTCATTCGCATGCTACTTAATGAAAAACCACTCCCACTTCACACACTCGGTTGTCCTTATCGATCTGATGGTCTCTGTTCATTAAAGGATTTCCTTGCAACACAGGAAGAGAGTACTGCCAAAGCACAATATGCTACTGCTTGCTTTGGAAATTATGTTGTAAATGAACCCATAACTTCACAAGCTGCAAATGGTAACTTGGATGATTGTCCTAAGAAATGTCATAATTGGAGAAAATTAATGCTTGAACTTCTATTTAATAAGTACCTCTTGTCGTCGCAACTCGTTTAACCTCTAACTGAATTCAATTTAACGATAATTCCCTATCGTTCGCTGGATTCTGTTTTGAAGACTATTGCAGAGGGTGTGGGTGGGTGTGTGGGTGGGTGTGGGAGCTGGGGTGGGGATGTGGATGGATGTGGGTCTGGTGGTGGTATGGGTGTGGGTGTGTGTGAGTGTGGGTGTGGGTGTAGGGTGTGGATGTGGGTGGATATGGCGTGTGGATGTGGATGGATGTGGGTATGGTTGGGGTATGGGTGTGTGGGTGTGGGTGTGTATGAGTGTGGGTGGGTGTGGGTGTAGGGTGTGGATGTCGGTGGATGTGGGGTGTGGATGTTGATGGATGTGGGTATGGTTGGGGTATGGGTGTGGGTGTGGGTATTGTACCAAGATATACACCAATATGATATGCTACTACTTGTATATGGTATCATCCTTACGTTGTGTCACTCTTATTTCACACCATCTTTAGTACAGTGTCATCCTGGTATCCATAGGTAATACTGCTCATAATGTTCAATACTTGTTTAATAATTGTTCAATACCATTCTAATTGTTCCGCTATACATTGTTCTTTTTCAATACTTCTGTAACCGCTGCGCTATACCCTGTATAGCTGCTCATTGTTCTCTTTTGACGAGAAGGACAGGGTGAAGGAGAGAAGAGAACAGTAGAGAATATAAAAAGTTGATGATATTGAGAGTAAGGTGTGAGATTGAGAAACGCGACACACGTGTGTGAGTGACATGTGTGGTTGTTTAAGAATTTATATGTAAACAAGACTAGTGTTGAAATAAAAGATCAAGTGATAGCAACAAGTAACGGAAGTGTACTGAAATCTACGAAACAAAGACAAAACAAGAAAACAGTGAGATATCATAATTTTCCGTTACAGGTATGTGGGTATGGGGGCTGATGAATAATGAAAAACCCACACCCACATATATATTGATGTTCTACATGTCACTGACTGAATTTCCAGTCTGGAAATAACGCCACTAAAGCATCTGATTGAAAGAGCCTTTATTACAAAAAAGTTTGATTCAGTAAAGATGACATAGAAAATAGAGTCTTTATGAGTCTGGTTGGTTTTTTTGAGCTTCCATCAATGCATGTGAGCATGTGATTATGCAAATGGAAACAAGGGTATGGGTGTGCGATGTTGTTATAGACAAGGGCAACAATATGCACTTTTGATCCTATCCATGTCTACATCGCACATCCTCTAAATACTCTTTTTACACAGAGTAACATATGGGTTTGGAGGCAAAGAAGACTCATAGCCTCGATATGAAAAAGAAGGATTCATAATTGAGATTTAATTTAATGAAAAACAACATCAAAGATGAATTTGTTAATGATATAACATTAAAATTGACTCTATGTAAATTTGAATAGAATTCAATGAATAATAATACTTTAATTACTATTATTATTTTCATGAGGTCTTCTTTATCAATTTAATTTAAAATTTACTAATGATTATTGTTTTACATGAATTTTATCATTTATACAAATATGTTTTTTATAGTAAGATTTATTTAAATAACATTTCTATAAATACAGATAATAGACCCTTTCAAATTGAATCTATTATAAATTCAATGTTCAAAAACTATTTTATTATTTATGTTGAAATATTCATTGTTTAATATCATTACACCATCAAATTAAAATAGCTTGTTTATTTAATAAAATGAAAAATGACATATTGTGCATATGTATATTGTTGATAATGTTAAAGTAGAAAACAATTACTAAGTCTGTTTAATATATAATCGAGAATCAAATGGCAATAAATCTAATGTTAGATTATTAACCGCATCAACAAAAACTTGTTCATTTGTTATATAATCGATCCACATTCCATTTTGAGGAATATTTCCTATAATATATTTCGTTTTAGCCATTTTATTAAAAGAAGCAACAACAACTAAATTTTTTCCACGAGAATAAGCTATTATTCTATTTTGATTATCTTCATAAAAAAAGTTCATTGGATCTTCTCGAAGAGATTTATTTATATGACGAAGTTTTATCAAATGTTTAAATGTATTTAAAAGGCGAATATTAAAATCATTTTCAAGTAAATTCCATGGCATTGGAAAACACGTTCTATAACAAAAATAAAGAAACTAAACTTAGAAGTATAATTTTATATTTACTTTTGCACTTGATAATTTCCTACTTCTCTGTCTTCACCAAGTTCATCTCCTTGTCTAATCATGGGAATTCCAACCGATGTAAGTAAAATAATAATAGCTGTTTTGATTCTAATAAAAGCATCTAAATCTTTTTTACCAATATCATGAAGTAATCTTTCATTGTCATGACAAGATAAATAATTAACAAAATTTTTTGATGAAAATGAATATTTAAGAGTACCTAAATCTCCCAATGTATCAAGTTTATCTTTTACTAAAGCAAGAGCACCTCTTAAACCATCATGAAATGATGTTGACCAACAAGCATCAACTGGACCACCGTTTTCTTTAAGCAAATCTTTTCGTTCGAAAACATATTCGGCTTGAGAAAAAAATGGTTGGGATGGGCGAACTGAACGAGCAACTGAATCCAAATGACCAAGAATATCGTAATTATCTATTTGTTTAGCTAAAATATAAATTAAATTATTTTTATTTTTACGGAGAGATCTTTTTTCTAAATTTTTCGATCATTAATTTTTTCATAAAAATCTCATTTCAGATAGCAGTAAAAAACAAATATATCTTCTATGTAGAAGTAATGTAGAAAATTAAACTTGGACTAGACTTCCTAAAAGTAGAGTGGAATGAAAAAAAAACAGAGAAAACTATGATCACGGCAGTCGTTTCGATAAACAGTATCAATATATATATATGTATACGTTACAATCTAATGAAAAAAATTTTTAACTCTTTTGCTTCCCACAGTGGTTCCAGAAAAGTCACTAATAGGATTTTTTTAAATTATCGATTTTGTAGATTCAATAGTTCAAAGACAGAGCGATGAAAAAAAATTCTATTTACCAGTTAATAGTTCATGAAGTTCACTACAAAAAATGTTCTTATCATATTCAAATTGCATGCTTCCTTTATATTTTCTGCAATCGTTCTACAAATGGTCACTCCAACGACCAACGGAGGTAAAAGATTGATAATTTCCTTTAAAAAACCTAAGTTTTTCTCATTTCTATTCTTTTAAATATAGCTATATGTTATAAAATAAATTAAATTGTTTATATTTACTTTAGATTGAAAGAATCAACAAAGAAGCAAGTTTATGTGAAGAGATTATCGAATTATTATTGTCATTGTAGAATTAAAACTCTTAATATATTAATCTTACTTTAACATTTTATTTTTAAAAATAAGTTCGTACAGAATCAATGTTGCACGTTTGTTCGCACTACCGGCAATACACTGCGGTAACCGTAAGTACCGATAGTATATCAATAGTAGACTGTCGATCACAGAATAACTATCAGTATACCGCCGTAGAATGACAATCAGAAGATAGTGAACAGATAAAATATCAAACTGCTAGCTTCGAAAATTCTTAAAAATTTTCTTATTATTCAATATACAGCATTTAGTGAGTTAATCGTCTTTAGAATAATAATAAATTCTATTTTGAATCAATATTTTAAAATAAAACTGAAAAAAAAACAGACCTGCATCAAATCTAATACCATCTAAGTGAAATTCTCCAATCCAATATTTAACAACATCACTAATAAACTTAACAGCAGGTTTTATATTTAATTGTTTATCTTTAAATTCATAATTAAATTCAGGTCCCCACCAAAATGGATCTTTAATAAGATTACTTATTAAAAAATAAATAAATAAAATAAATTACCTTCAGGATGATGTTTTCCTTTATAATACTAAAATAAACAAATATTTAATTATTTTATTTTTATAAATCATAATATAAACGAATTAAAAAAGAACCTTACCCAATAATCTTTATCAATGAGAGCAAGAGAACATTCTTTATTTGAATGATTACATACTGCATCAAGAAAAACACGAATTTTTCTTTGATGACATTTATCAACTAGTAATTTTAAATCATTAATAGAACCATATGTTGAGTTAAGACAAAAGAAATGACGTGGTAAATAACCCCAATCAGGTTCTTTTTCTTCTGATTCTATTTTAATACAATAATATATTTTATAAACATTTATTACATTCTTATAAAGTTAAATATAATCCGAAGAAACAATCGAAAATAACATTACTATACTTCTTGAAAATCTTATTTGTTTTATTTAGTGCATGAATCAGTTTATTTTTTTTTAAACATTTTGGTTATTCTCAACAAATATTTTTCTCATGTAATAAATAAGACAATATTAATCGATAAATTCGTCTACTTATATAATTATTCAAAATTGATTAATATATGAAAAATTTAACTCAAACTTTTACAAATTCTTTATTTAATATACTGAACTTTGACAGATAAATTAGTTTAAAAAAATGATTATCTTACCAATAATTGGCATTAATTCAATGCCATTAATACCTAAATCTGATAAATAATTTAGTTGATCAATAACACCTGAGAACTGTCCATTATGAGAAAAATCAGCAACATATAATTCATAAAAAATTAAATCTTTATTCTCTGGTAATTTAATATGATCATATTGCCATTTAAATTCTTCTTCATATTTTTTTCCATCTTTGATTGTTATAATACCAATATGTTTTTCACGATCGTATTTAGTAGTATAAGGATCAATAATATCAATTGATGTTGATAATATCCCACTCTTTTTACTAATTTGAAATTTATATCGATGATCACCATCACTAATATTATCTACAGAGCATACAAATGTTCCATCTGATTGTTTATCCATTTGTATATCTTTATCATCTAATATAAGTTTAACTGTATCAATTGTTGGTGCAAATAATGAAAATATCATTTTGAAATGATTTATGTATGAAAAAACAAATAAATGACGTTCAAGTAATATTTTGATTTGTTCTTTCATTCAGTCACGTGTTAAGTCACATGTTAAGTGACTTTATAGACTTGCACTCCATCTAACAGAAAAGAAAAAAAATATATTAAATGAATTCTATGTGAAAAAAAATTTTTAAATCAGACATCTAGATCATTAAAAATTAAAAAAAATTTACGATCATAATTGATAATAGATTCATTTACTAAATTCTTCTTAGAATTTTATCTAACAAATAGGATGTGAGTGCGGTTCGATGAGTCTGTATGGGTGAGTGTGGAGTATAGGTATAGTGCGAGAAAACATTCACGCTCACATACAACTCATACACTCTTATTCCTGTCGAAAATTTTCGTTCATGTAATTATGCCACTTGTCTTCGAACTATTATTCCAGCACATACACAAAAGCATATCGAGTTTTATTGCTAATCAGAAAAAAAACATGCTGGCGTTATCCGAAGTTTAGAATCTCAACGAAATATTTGAAACAAAAATTGTATAGCAAATCAACGGCTATTCAAATCTATGACATACATCTTACTAATGTCTTATGCTGTTGTGAATTCGTGGTTCTGAGTAAAACTATACGTCCCAAATGAGTTTCTTTTCCGTTTAAATTACATCACCTATAGTATCTTTAAGGAGAGGTCTGAACGCTGATTGCCCAATGTTTCATCGGTTAACTTTTGATATCACTAGAAACAGGATTAAGAAGACAGAAAAGACAGCTTTCTTTCTCCGTTTAAATTGTTTGACTACATGTGTCATGAACAAATTTTTAGGATGGGGGTGAGTGTGGCTCCTCTTTTCAATCACCTTCACATTCATATCATGAACAATGGGAGGACATGTGTACAGCGGAGTGTTCAGATTTCTGAAAAAACATATGTCCAAAATTTCCAACAAATAAGAAGGGAATTTTTCTAGCAAACTTCGGTTATTACTAACGCAAATGCAGACATTTTTCAGCAAAGTTCTGGGACATTTTCGAAATTACTGAAGTGTAAGAAAGAAATTCTTAGAGAACTATATAGAAAATTTTAGAAACTATCAAGAACTTTCGATCTTTACTAGGAAATTTCAATATTTGCTTTTTCTTTTGGAAACTGTTGAAATGTCCATATACTAATGATAAATATATCTTACTGTTTTATTAGAAGTATGGAAGATCCTTATCCTCAACTCGAGTGAATTTTCAGAAATTGCTATAGAAATTTTGGCGATTACTAGGCGATGTGGGTCTCTTCTTCACTGACACTTATACTCACACCATTGTTCGATTCTGTCCTGAAGCTTAAAAATTGTAGCAGATGGTTTCTTGAAGAACGATGTTTTTTTTCAGATATGTTTGCTCGTTTTGTTATTCTCGTGTTTCTTTCACACAAGAGTCTAAGTCTTTGACTTGTCACCTTTTGTGACAAATGTCGTCTTCAAGTCGACAAACTAATAATTTTGTAAATCAACAGCAACCAGTTTATACGCCTGACGAAAACTCTCATATATATATATATACAGTGATGAATAATGTTCCGCTTACTTTTGGCAATGAGATATCGCAAGAACAGCAAATCGTATACTATAACGTCCTGGTGAATTACCAATCTACCAGCAATCCGTAGCCGTGTGCATGCCAGCAATAATTGCCAAATAGCCAAATCGCCAGTCAGTACTCCACAGCTAATCCATCAGCTCAACATCAACAACAAATAGTATCTATCCTCCATAAATATTCCACTTCCACTGGTACAACAAGCGATATTGTTAACATATCAACCACTCACCAATGTGACAGCACCGACTGCTACATCAATGACTAATCCAACAGTATATTCAACTCCAATATCAGTCACAACTAAGAGAGGTCGCAATGAAACTAGTGGAATATCTGAATCAAAAAGTACAATGACATCCTCATTACCCACAGATCACTCGTATTTTTAACTCGAACAATACTTCTCACAAATGTCTGCATGGAAGCAATCAGCAATTTAATGAAGGTGTTAATCTAAGTCTCTATGTACAAAATCAACCAGGAAAACGGAATCAAAACTTTCCCGATAGAAGAGACGAGGAAGACACAAATGACAATCATTTACAACCTTCCATCGCTGCATATCGCTTCGCTACAACTCGTTTCCCTTTCTCACACGAAGTTCGCGAGAAAATACTGATGGATGATCTTATTAAACATGCACGTAATAATTTGAATTTCGAATTAAAAACTGTAGCATATCGATGAGGACGAATGAATAGCAAACAATGAGTGCTGAATATCAATACGCAACGCAAAGTTCATCGATTCCTTCATAACTTGCTCTAGTCTTGCCATTTGTATCGCTACAAACCGATGGAGATGAATTCGTTCAGGAATTGAAAGACAAATTTCTGGATATAGCACATATTATTTGTTTAAAAAATAAAACACAACAATCAGTACGAGCGGTTAAACACGAATTTCTATCGTCAAAATTACGTAATGAAATATAAGAAGGTGAGAAAATTTTGATTCTGCACATGAAACTTAAGGTGGTTAAATGCTACGCACAAGCAAATGTATTTATTTGTGCCAACTGTTACGAAATCGGACACTTCAGAAACAGTTGTCCACAAAAAGATATGAGTGTGAGTGAGTGTCGGTGTTGGCTTTGTCTTCATTCACACCCACGCCCTCACCGCTGTAGCATTAATTATTACTTAAAATATATGGTTGAATATCAGATATGTTGTCTTCAAAATTATTTCACGATTCTATTTTTTTGTGCTCTAAATTAGTAATACGTCCCTTTTATTATTAATTACATTGAAATTTAGCAGATACTCTAGTTTTGTTAAAGAATCACAAGAAAATCGTGAAATGCTACCACATCGTTCATTTAGCCATATATCTGTCTATTACTGGTTTTGATACCATATAAAGGCTTTTTTTCTATCTATAATCGGAAGACTTTTATATGTCGACCAGTGTTATTTTTAATTTCCAAAGGGCGAATCAAAAGTCAGAAAAGTTGCATTATCATTGAATTGAGGTATGAATGGATATGGGACCCACATCCAAGTACCTATAATCGCACTTTTTTTTTAGCATAACGATGATTAAAATAGTTTTATAACGCGTATTTAGCACTCTGTAAAGTGTCCAAATATCATCATAGATTGCACGATAATCACAATTCATTGATTGATTGCAGGAAGACCTTTCAATTACATAAGAAAATATGCTCTTGTCTGTTGTTGTATTATATGAATTACATTTTACCTATCAATAATGCACTTCACTAAAAGAATTAGTAGTTATTATTGAAATATTTGAATAAAACCAAAAAGATATAAAAACATCTTTTATTTCACTTTTGCATAAATATTCAATTGTCGCCACACAGCTGCTCCATTAACATTTTCATCGAAACGATGGTAAGCATTGTCTGCCTGCTTCCAACCTCCTGAAACTTCCCTTGGTTCTGTGTCACTTGCAGACTGTAGTAGACCTTCCCAACGCCAAATACAGTTGTTAAAAGCACACGTGATGGGTTCAACGTACTTTGAACATTCAGGACATTTCGACATTTTATGACTTTCGTTCAGAAGATTAAATTCTCTGATTCCAATATTTATAATGACTAGTTGTTTATGTGCTATACAAGATTGATTAGAACATTTGCCTTCAATACAAATTCCAGGTCTTGCAATACGCCAACGAGGTGCACTAGAACTCCATTCAATTCGCTTAGGACCGTTGTCCTTACTTAGGTCTACAAATGTTGTTCCAAGCTTATTGTGAACAGCAATTTTGTTAGCAAAGTAGGTGTGTGGCTGAGAAGTACGTAAATTATAGACACATGTTGCTAGTGCCTTAATAATTTTAATACTCGTAATCGTTGTTGATTGAAAATGACCATCAATCAAAGTATAAACACAATCAGAGACACATAACTTGTCAAGCGAACAAAAATTACCATGTCCAACAAAAAATGGATGTTCACGTGTTACATGCAGTCGATTTTCTCCGATTTGTAATTCTAAATATTCATCAACCTGATGCTTGAACACATCTTCAACAACTGTTGTAACGATCTCACCAAAAGTAGTAAATGCTAGTAAAACATCACCGAATTGAACATCTTTAATTTTTATTTCACTTTGATCAGCACGTTGAACAAGTGTATCCGGTAAAAAACATGCTTTGTGATGTTCTATTGTAAAAATTGTTGTTCCCGTGATGATTAATGCTTTATACTTATTGAATTCATTTTCATCGTTTAAATCAAATTCTTTTCCATGACATACAAAAGAATAAAGAAAGCTTGTATTATTATAAACGTTATCAGCAGCTTTCTTAAAATCGTTTATAGTAAATGGTGTTGGTAAGGTTGCTGCCACTGGCTGTTGATCATTCAATTGAAATTGAATAGATATTGATGCCATTTTAATAATATTTCTACGCCTATATACACTTTACGCGGTTGTCCCTTCAAAAAAAATTTTTAATACAGTACTTTATTCTGCAAAACAATATACGTTTGAATCTGTCAGAAATTATTTCTCATTTTAAAGGATTTTTTTTCATTCTTATCTCTACAGCCATGCATTTAGGAGCAATTTATGACCGTCATGTTTCTTTCACTGTTATCTTCTTCCTTTGAGAGTTTTTTAAAGTCTTTTTTGCTTGAAGTATAGAAGGCAAACAAAAGAAGACAAATATATGTAATTTCACAACATATTTTTAATATTTTTTGAAAATTTCAATACTTGAAATTGCAACAGAAGATTTATTAAGAAATATTGACAACTAACGTTTCTGTGATTTAAGTCAAAATTATAATTATTATGATGTCAAAACAAAGAATCCAAGACGTTCTTTTCGAATCTAATTCGGCATTATTATTTATTGAAAACTATCAAAATAAGCAAGACCTACGCCCAAACCCACACTTTAAACAGTTTTGATTGTAAAAAGAGGCATGTTTTGTCTTGACCAGTTTCCAACTATGCTTTTAGATGATCTTGGAAGTTGAAAACAATACTTTGTAAATAAAACAAAGGGATGCTTATATACGTTGTCGTTCAAAAAAAGTTGTGTCTTAATGCGTAGCAATAAAAAATACTACGTGTAAAGTCGAAAGCAGCGTATTTCCTAAAAGCTGGTGTTGAAATGCTAATCCATAAAAAAATGTCTTGGTAGACTAGAAAACATTAAAAGCTCAAAATCTCCGAAATAACTTTATCAAGCAATAACAGCAAGAGCGGTCGTTGATTATGCAAAGTTACTTATCGATGTCTGTTGAAAGCGTTTCCTTGTTTGAGCTCACTGTCTACGCCCGTCGAAACACTGTCAAAAAACATCAGTATTACTATGACGAGGGAGCGAAGCCGAAACTTACCGTGTCAATAGCAGTTTGAAGTTATTGAATATTTTGTGAGAACACTTGACGACGCTCGCTCTTCAGTATATATTGGAAGCAACAAATGAAAATGATTTCTTAGAATGATGAAATACTCTTTTCTCCAATAGGCAAACAAAGCAAACATAATGATTGAAGCAGTAGCATGAAGATGAATGTAAGCAGGTGGGAAAGTGTGTCGTGGATACATGCACACTACCTTTTCTCTTTGTATCGAAAGCAAGAGAAATTACACTTCGTCTCAATGCATTCAAGCAAACAAAGGAAGAAAAAAACTGTCGTCTAACGTTACTGCTCGCAAATGTAATTCTTCTGATACATTAAGCAAAAGAGTAGATGAGATTAAGGACCTTCAGCAACGAAGATAGTTCCAATTTTAAGCACCTATACAATTTTTCTCTATTATCGATGTTAAAGAATAGAATCTTACCTTTGAGTGAATTGATTGAGCTTATTCTGACGAATTTGTTGTGCAATATTTTTAATTAATTTTTCAAGAATTTCTTTTGAACCTCAAAAAGAGGAAATGAATAAATAATTCATAGAATCTCATTCAACGAATATTTTGTATAAATTGAGAATTCATCTGAAATCATTTCATTTTCAGAGAACTTGAGAAAAAAACTTAATTGACCTATTTACTTCGAATTGAAATGAAAAAGAATCTTAATCAATATCAAAGATTGGCTTTGACATGATTTTGTTGTTCGATTGATTTGACATATCCTTCGATATAGATCGAATTAAATATTTTTTTTATAGGTTTATCTTCATGATTGAAAAATTACAATCAATTGACAATACTTTAATAATTCAAACAAATTTTTTTTCGATAACACGAATTGACTTTTGCAGTACATTCAGTTAATGATGATATATCAATTCGAATCGATTTTTCAACCGATCGGTACTATCAATCAATTTTATCTTGATTGATCTGTTGCTCTTCAATGAATATCATTGAAGGACATTGCCTAAATCCTATTAAATATAAAATTATCTATTTAGTCAAGAAGTTATTTTGAAGTCTACACACTGAGATTTCATGATTTGCTGAATTTCTTAGTATTATAAAATAATAATTTGAATAACTTACCACTGTTTAATTTTTTTTCAATATCATTTTTGATAAGATCATTCATCTAAAAAAAATATCGAAATTAGAGATATACAGAATAAAATTTTTTTTGATCTCGATTCCAATCTAGAGAAAACTATCCTAGAATTTATTTGTATCATATCTAAAATATTGCTTCAATAATCTGTTTCTTGGATTTATTTAGTGGATGACTGCGTCAGTTTTCTTGAATTATGTTCTGACTTATGACCGAAACCAGAAATGAGATTGTATGATGTAAACACAATTTCATTTGAAAATTAATAGACTTCAGAACATCATATAGCTTCAGATTCCTATTCCGCACATTTCTACCATTGGCTTCTTTGGAGATCAACACAAAACAATTTGTTTAAAGTTAAGCAAGATAAGAAAATTAGTGATCAGACAATTGAAAATAATTCGAATAAAGGCAATTAATCTTAATTATAATAGAACTCGATATGGTTTATGATTAATTTTTCATTTCTGCCTTTTGTTTTTGCTCAATTAGGTGATTTAGTCTATTATTCATTGAATCATGCAGGTAAATCAAATTGCTTTCATCGTATAGTAAGCGAACGAATTAAGAAATAATTATTGTTAGATGAATCAAAAGTTTTTGTTTTCGAATATTCTTGTCTTTGTTTAGATTAGTTCTGATACTGCGAAACAAGATGTTACTATTTAACAATAAAATCAATGTGTAATCAATCAATAACTCATCTGAACAAACATATTTATCTCATTATCTATTCTGCATTAGTTCAGTTATTTTTTTTGAATAAATTAAACCGAAATTTTCTTCTCGTTTCATATGCCAATCTTAGATTAGACTAGTTCAAACAAACTTGAATAGAGCAACAAAGTAAAATTAAACTTCCATTTTTGATCTCAAATTAATGTCGGACTCAGAGTTTGTTTTTGATGAACGACAAAAGACCAATAACATTTACTTTTATAATAGTTGTCTTAAAATTCAGATTGAAAAATTTATAAGTAGTTTCATGTGTAAATAGAAACTCCATTGAACATTTTTTGTAAATTTTTAAATCAACTTTTCATTTAATAATTCATTATATACAAAGAGAACGTCATCACTGTGTCATAGCTTATCAAAAAAAAATTCTGAATCCAACTATCGATTTAAAGACAAAAATTAATGTTGAATCGTAATTTGTCGAACTACACATAGTGATAATTTTGAGATTGAACTTTTCTATTATTTAATTTCATCAAGAGTAGAAAAGTTCTTGCAAATCTTCTTTTTTTTCAGCGTATAACTAAGAGTCGTCCCCTTTGAATTGATGTTGAAAAAGAATCATTTGAATTGGCAAATATTAGCATTAACTCAATATTTTTATATTTGAGGAAGGAAAACCTATCATTATGACACATATAATATTTGAAAATTTTGAATTTATTCACTAATGGTATATTGATCAAATTCAAACTAATATGGTGCATGATAGATATGACATTAGATCGGGACTGACACCTTTTTTTTTAGTTCGAGAAATCTTTGTTATTGTCAGAATTTGAGAGAACTCTATATTTTTGTCATAGTCTATACTAAGATAATTTTTAATTTCATCTTTTACAGTTTAATGTTGATATTATTGATAATTATTCGTCATTGATAATAACATTTGTTTTCAATGTTGTTATCAAACAATTATTATATTCAAGTATTATTAACGAATAGAAATTCAATATTAGAAAAAAAAAAGATATGTGAATCTAATATTTTATTTTCATTGCAGTAATGTCTTTTTCCTATTTCAAATTTATTCAGATGTTGAAGAATAAAATATTTATATAAAAACTTCTCAAACAAGTTATATCAAGATTGACTTCTTCCAAAAGCAATAAAATAAAATATATTTACTATAAAATGATTACATATCTTTTTCACTCAATGCCGTATTTGCACTCTATCAATTATGATAGTACATTCTTCAACGTACTGCTTATCTCTAATAATTCAATAAAATTGTTTGTATGTTAAGAAATAACTCTTTCAACTAGAGCAAAAAATGAATGAGTTACACACAAACAATGTTACATAATAAATCACAAGTAACACGTTAAAAAAACTGTTTCTCACATTACTAAATCTATCATTAGACGAAGGTGAACTCTAAAAGGCTTTTTTTGTTCCTGAGTGTGACTGAAGACTGGGTGCATTGACATCATGGATGTGAGTAAACTAAAAACTTACACCCATCATTATTATATAAAAATTTATTATTCAAAATTGTTTGAAAAAATATGAACATCTGATTTTAACATTTTTTTTATTTTATTTATTTGAATATATGAGATTCAATCATATTCATCTATAATTTTTTTTTATTACAAAAAAAAAAGAAAGAAATCATCCTATTAATCCATTTTATTATTTGATTTTTTCATTGAATCTTTTTGTAGATAACTTGTATAAAAGAAATGAGCAAAAAGTATAAGATAAGAAGCATATAAAGCTAATGATAATTTAATATTAATATTTGATGTTGCACATAAATATCCATGTTGTTTATAATTAAATGCAGCAAGATTAACTATACAACCAATAATCATTTGAATTAATTGTAAAATTGTAATAAATTGTTGAAGACATCGAGGTAGACGAATACGTGCTGCACGTAATGCAAAATAACCATACATTATTGTATGAACACAATAATTCATTGATACAAACCAACGACCAGTTGAAACAAATAATGCATAACTTCAAAAACAAAAAAAAAATTAATTTTTAAAGAATTTGTAGAAATTTTTTTGTCTTCTATTTACCTGTAGAAACAATAGATAAGAACTGTTGCATGATGATACCAATGAAGAAATATTAATTGTTGTCGTCTTAGAACAATAAATAATGTATCAAATGTTTCAGGTACTTTTGATGCCATAAATAACCAAGCCCTAAAAATAAAAATTTATAAAATTATTGTTTATTTTTACAAAAAATTATGTATGTTTTTATTGCTATACTCACCAAAGTCCAGTGATACCTTTTTTATAACTTGAATCACAAATAGAATATAAAAATCCATGATTAGTTAAACTATCAATAAATTCAGGTAAACATCGACATGCACCCCAAAAACTAAAGATTGTTAGAATTATATTCCAAATAACTAATAATTTTCTTAATTCAAATTTTTCATTTCTTTTATTCATCCATCTACGACCAATAAATATAGCAATAATATATAATAATGTATATGGAATACTTAACCACCACCAATTATACATTAAATTTTCTATCCATAAAAATTTTTCTTGATCAAAAAATAGAAGTTCAAAATCAAATACCCATAAATGAATGAGACCATTTGTATCAGTTACTGATGAATGTATATTCATTATATTGAAAATTGATTGTTATAGTTTTATGAAATAAAAAGAAAAACAATTTTCTTTTCTTTTCGTTTCTTTTTTTTTTTGATTTCTTTGTCGTTCTGTCTATTGACAATACATTTTTCGTCACCTACGTTATGCATCAATTCAAATCACAAACATGACGATGGAGACTATTTGTTGTTATTCTATTCATTAAAATATATAGTACGAGTCATCGAAGAACAAAAAAAAAAAAAAAGAAAAGAATCTTGGTAAATATACAGTTTATTTCAGTGCATGTGTCATCAGGTCGTACGGGTACATTATTTTTATTAAATTTCATGGAGATGGAATCAATCCAATGAAAATAAATGAAAAGATGTCGTCAGATGAAAATTTAGAATAAAGAATCTATTTCGAACGATTACGTATTGTTCTTATACATGATGAATTTATAGAAGAGAAAATATACTTTTTATTTACAGATATATAATAATTATTTTAATTGTTATGGTGTGAAACATAATTTTTCTATAAAGAAATTTATACTTTGTGTTGTGATGATTTAGAAAACGACAAAATCGCTAGAAATTCGTTCGAATTATATCTTTATATGATACAAACAACTTTGAATCTTCAATAAGTTGTCAATAGGAATGATTATTGACAATTTTCGATAAGACAAGATCAAAATTGAGGTGTAATCATTTATTGTTCTGATGTTAATTGAAACTTTATCGCCTAAAATTGATTCATGTAGTCGTCTGCAATTTTTTTCTTTATGATAGACGATCTGATACTATCTTATTCACGCATTAAATAAGACAAAAATTTGTTTTAATAGCGTGAATTTTTTAAGATTCTGGATGAAACTCTTATATTTGAAATCAAACTCGATTACATCTATTATGTTGTTCCCCTATTTTACGCTATATATATATATGGTAAGAGTAAAAGATCTTATTACAATCCCAGCAACAGTTTATGGTAAGCTTTTACTCTTGCTATTAATAGTGCAAAAAAAGGTATATAATTTGAGTGATACATGCTTGAATAAAACAATATAAGAACGTCTATATGTGAATACAGTCGACATTAAAAATTTTGCATACTTTTTTGTCTTGAAACGTATATTTAAACTACACAATATTAATTTAGTTCAATGAAATACAATAAGAAAAGCAAATTTCAGTACTAAGAAAAAAATTACATAAATAAAGATAATATGATAACGAGAATGTTTTTTCTACAACTTTCGACGACATATATTTTGAAAAAAAAAAATCAAGCTGCTATCTTTTTCTTATGTAGACATGGATACAAAATATAAAAATCTTTCAAAGATTTTTATTATGTTAAATAACATGAGAAGAAGTACTATCGTGTTTTTTCTTTTCATGTCGAGTATAGAAGATACCATCAGAATTAGTCCATAAAGATTTATTCTTACAGATTTTGTAGAGCTTTTCATAGCACATCTTTTTTTAAAAGAAATCCAAGATTTTGTCATTTGTTTTTGGAGAGATATTCGCAAGACAAACTATGTTGAAAACATTATGAGACACCTGATATGACACAATGTTTTATATTTTGATTATAACACCAGTATTTCTCAACGAAATTCAAAATTGTTTTTTTTTTACTAAAATAATCAGCAAAAATCGCCCTACAAAGTCTGATAAAATGAAAAGATTCCTGAATATTTTAAATGTTTTTTGTGGTTGACTACCCATAGGTACGAAACTTTTAACGTCGACTGTAGAATGTCTAATGCAGTTTGTAGTGCTCTTATTACTGATATATTGAAATTTAACTTAGAACAGGCGCATGACAATTTACCAAAATAAATTGTTGGATACTTTTGAAAGAATGAAAAATTGCATGCTATGATTGTGTCTTGAATACAAATTTAACAAATGAGTGTAGGCGCGAGACCTCATTTCATCTATATCCATACCCCCAACTCCAATTTTTGTTCCTAGGATTTTCGACTTGCAGAGCTTGATTAGAGTATTTTGTTAAGGATTGTCATTATGAATAATATGAGGAGCGTCTGAATCGTCAAAGCAACTTCCAAATATGTCGAATATATTCGTATTTTTTTTACGCTGAAGCGCATATTCAATCTATGACTCCAATCGTTGGAAAAAAAAGTGAAAAGATTTCTTCCTCTCAGTATCCAGTGATGAGAATAGAAGCATCTGGCCGAGATGCATGTATTATTTCAGATCAAGAAATACGACAAATACTGAATTGGAGATTACTTAATGTAACAGTGAAGCACATGCAAACGATTATCTATATTTTAAATACGCAATAAGCTTACTTACTTCTCTTTTCTCTGTCCTTAAAAGAGACGCATATCGATTCATGCGCCTAATTATTTTCTCTTCTATGGGTATTTGTAGAAGGTAATCTAAACTACCTTTCGTTTTTGTTTTTTTCTCAGTAATTAATGAGCTGATGTCTTACATGAAAGTTTAAAAACACTGATCAACTACTTCCCTGTTGTATTTGTCAAAATTCATTCTAGCACACTGTTTCTGAAAATATAAACGTCAAAAAAGAAATTTATATAGAATTCTTTTTATGAATTTAAAATTTGTTTTTCTTTCTACTAAGCCACGGTTCAGTGTGATCTGAAAACTTTAAAATGTTGTATACGGTCATAAGCCGTTTCTTTGTGAAGATCATCACCTGAGTTCCTAGAATGCATGAAAAGTGTCGATTTTAACAAACTCAAAACCATTCAGAAGCATTTCGAGGTTTTCGAAATTATCTCCGATCTTCTGAGAGTGGATGTAGGTCTTCTTTACATACTCACGCACTCGCAATACATAAGACGATTTCATACATGCATGTTTCCATACAGATATGGTCTAGTAGTTTCTATGTCCGTTTTCGATTTTTATTATAAGTATACTTATGATGACTCATACGTTTTATTATTACTGTATGGTAACCATAGCATGCCAAAACTTAGCATATATAATTTTAAGTCTTACTGGTAAGTTACTATTGACTTGGAACTCATTTCTAAAGAGTTAATATTTGATAATGACTCACTAATCAAGCGTACCATGAGATATTTCGTAGCACACAGAAAAAGATATCCTTGAAAACTCTAGAAGGATTTCAAATAATAACGACATCGACAATCTTTGAGGAGTTTCAGAATACACGAAAACCTTAAAATACTCTAAAAAACTTAGAAGTCCAAAAAAAGTCACTATTACTTACCTTCAATTCCATTACATAAAGTAGAAAAAGTACTAATAAGTGAATGTATTTCAGTAACCATAAATGTACGTATAAGAAAATCCTATTTTTTATTAGTTACACTGTAAAATACTCTTTGCTATTGACGCTATGATATTACTTTTTATTATTTGTTTTCTCATGCCAACGTTTATCGCTTAGATTGTGACAGTATCTTTTATTAGTTACATGATCATAGTGATTTTTATTACTTATTTTCTCATGTCAACGTTTATCGCTTTGTGATAGTACCTTTTTTTTTTATTTTCTTTCTCATATTACTTTTTATTACTTACATTGTCATAGTAATTTGTAGTTTGGAATCTTACTTATTGCGTTTCGTGAAGGTAGATTCGAATTCTCATTTTTTTACATCTTCAAATACGAAAACAGACAGACAAACCACTAGATCACATCTGTATGGAACTATATGTGCATGCATTTGCCTTACAAAAATGATCTAGATTGAGATTGCGCAGTTACAGTTTAAACTTCTTTTTTCGGTGAATTGCTTAAGAGTAATTTTCTATGGCAGACAGCTAAAATAATTTTTGGAACCGAATACTACAAATGATTTCTCAAAGTTTCGAGTTTGAATTTTTTACGCGAAGAAAAGTCATTTTTGCACAACTAACGATTTTTCATAAAGTTTGACTGAAGTTTTTTGAGATTGAAATATTCGATTCTAAAGACTGTTTCTAAAGGTTTTCGAGTTCAATGTTTGTTTTTTTACGGCAAACTAGTTATAGATTCAGACGTCGTAGAACAAAATATGATTTAACTCATCTCTGCATCCTTTTTTTGTTGAAAATCTAGTTAATATTGTAAGACATAACGAAAAGAGAACTAGCAGAAAAGTTCCCAACACTGATTCAAATGTAAACACGCGTTGTCTTCTGTATAAATGCAAAAAAAATTCCAATAAGAAAGTGAAGCAGAAATTAGATTTCTTTTTAAAATCCTTTCGGCAATTATCTTAGTATTCCTATCATGATTATGAAATTTTGATTGTAAAAAGAGTATTTAAAGAAAATTTAATATTTTAAAATATTCTTCTTGTTCTTCCTTTATAATTTATAGTAGAGAAAGCATGTAAAAATATATTTCATTCTCATCATAATGTTATCACCATTCTCATCAACAAATAACAACAATGATTCAAATATTATTGATTTATTATATAAATTGTGTAAAGACAATGAAATAGAAAAAGTTCGAAGTCTTTTACCATTTATTGGCAATATAAATATTATAAATAGAATTGAAAATTCAACTGGTTCAACATGTTTACATGTCGCATGTTATTATGGTCATCGAGAAATGGTAGAAATGTTATTGGAATATGGAGCTGTACATTCCATAAGAAATATACGATATAATTTAACACCTTATGAAGAAGCTCAAACAGATGATATAAAACAATTAATTTTAGAACATCAAAAATTATTTTCAAATAATGATTATGATTATATTGAATGGTCAGTAGTAGGCGATGATCTTCTTGGAAAACGTCGTGAATTTCGTGAAGCTATTGATGTATACAAAACTTATGATAATCATCATTTAATATCAAAATTATTAGCTGAAGTTATTCATTATTATTTAAATGAATATTTAGTAAATCAAATTAATGATACTGGTAATCCCGAAGATCAAATAACTCGTAAGCAAATTGAAACTATTGAAACATATTTTAAAGAAGCTATAGAAAAACAAGATTATTTAACATATTTTATTAAAGCTTATACATTAACAAATTTTTTTTATAAAGTATTAAATAAAAATTTAGCTCTATATATATTAGAATATTTTGATGAAACAAAAACATTTTCATCAAATTATCGTCTTGTAAATTGTCTTGTTCACATTGTTACACTCTTAATTTATCATCCAAATTTACCACAATATCAATATCAAGGTATATGCTATCGTGGTATGAGAATAACACAAAATGATTTAGATCAATATCAATTAAATCAACATATATTAAATCGTGCATTTTTATCAACATCTACAGATCGTCAAGTAGCTGCAATGTTTGCTGGTGAAGGTCAACAATCTAAAATGAGATATACTACAAAAGATCATTGTGCATTACAATATTCATGTTTATGTCAATATTTAATAAAACAAAATTCAACAGCTATAAATGTAGAAAGTTTATCAACAAGACCCGATGAAAAAGAAGTTTTAATTATTCCGTTTTCTGTTTTTAAAGTAATAGAAGTAAAACGAAATTATCTTGATGATTCAACAGCATCAATTTCAATTGAAATTGAATTAGAAGAATGTGAAGATGTAATTGATAATAATAAAGAATTAGAAAGTATGCTTTTTCGTCAATGTCTTAACAAAAATTTCTTGTTATGATTCTATTTTTTGAAATTTTCAGGTGATAAAACATCGAGATCATCATCATTATCATCATATGGTAATGATATCAAAGATACCGAAGAGTATGTGAAATTTAAACAACGAAGATATTTTTTATATGGAATCATGGGATTTTTGATATTTGTTATTCTTTTGGTGGTAACTTTTACATTGATTTTTACTTTTGTTGTTAAAAATAATTCCTCAAAAAATACTATAAACAATATGACAACAACATTAGAAAAAAATGAGATTTTCGACTACGAATTACTAGCAGGTAAAAGTGACAAAATAAAACAAGTTAAAATATGAAACATCTTCTCAACTTCTTTGATTTTAGGCATGTCACTTTGAGGTGTGAATGTGCGGGTGTGACGTGTGATTCAATAGAGGAGTACACGGATACTGACACCTACATCTAACTCTTTTCACAGATCTGGGAGCTCTCAGTCAAATATGCCACAGACGGTTAGGTGAAAATTTCAAACGCTAGACTTCTCATAAATGGAAAAAAACGTGTTTTGTGCCTTGGAAACGAAAAACTAAAATTCCTATTCAAAACGGTTAGCACCATCCTTGTGGGATTAAAATGCGAATAAACGATATGGTTACTCTTAATAATCTCATAGCAGGGTAATCTGTCTCAATCTATAGACAGGAGGGGAAAGGCCTATTTTCCTCTCAAATTTGTCGACATTTTTTTCATGAACTACTTATTAATTTGTTATCAAGAATTCATTAATGAGTTTATGTAACTAAAATGCCTGTCACAATCGATGACCAGTGGACCTAAACTATTCTTTGTTAAACAAATACAAAATTGACATTTTTTATACGTACTCTTTGTAGGCTGTCCCAATATATTAAATCGATCTAGCTGGAATGCACGTCCTTATCTAAATCGTGACATTTTAACAACATTCCCAGTCACACATGTTGTTATAAGACAGTTGACAAATGTGATATCAGTTATGAATCAACACGACTGCATTAAAGAAATACGAAATCTTCAAGATTCTCAAATGGATATAAGCGATTGGCCTGATATTGGTTATCATTTTCTCATATGTAATGACAATGATGATCAACAACAAATATATAGAGGTAGAGGATGGCTATACATGGGTGCACATTGTATCGGTTATAATTTCAAATCTTTAGGTAAGAATAAATTTGACTTTTAACTTTCTAGAATAATGTATCATAGATTATTGCCAATTAGCCTTAATTCTGTGTTTGTCTTCTTAAAAAATAATTCAACTTTAGACGAATTTTGATGTGTAGTTAGAGTTAGTAAGAAACTTACGACGAAATTTCACGAAAATTTGGAAGACTCTATACTCCAAAGATAGAGAAACAACGACGGGGAGAATACTACTTCTTAGTTATTCTATGATTGATATACGTCAGTAAGATCATTTGTCCAAAAAGAACTGTCCGTGGTTGCCGACATGAGACTATTCCGGTTGCAGTGATTGACCAAAATTTTGTATAAAATCATTGGCAGCAGCATTTTTTTATGTTGTATATGAAACCTTGCTAAAAACTTCATGCTGATTCTTTTATAAGGTTGTAAATTACATATGAACCTTCGCCTTCATCAATAACAGCTCCGAATGTGGCAAATTTCTTGACAGGTGACGTCGACTAAACAATCTAGATTTTGTCAAAAAGCCACTTGTGACAAGATTCTCTTTGATAAATGGAAAGCTTTATCTGACTGAAATTTTTAGCAGCTTTATTAGCAGTAAAACTTCTATGCATCTGTCTCTTTCGAATCATAAGATACCAAACACAAAGTTACTTGAAATAGTAAGTTTTGTCTTGATAAATGAGATGCCTAAAATATTCAGAACTCAACCATTTCCATTGAAAATCTAAAACCCAGTTCGATCGATCAAACCGTTGCTGAAATATAATCTATAATCCTCCCCTGTAGCAGAAGTTTTTATGTTAAGAATTTTTCCTTAAAATGTTCATAAAAAATCGGAGCTTGAATGTTTCTAAAAACGGCTTCTGTTGAAATATGCAACATTAGAACTTCCATAATCAACCTCAAATTGAGCAAAAATTGAAAATATTCATTGAAGACATTTCCTAAATGTTTATTTGTTTTCTAAAAGGTATTGGTACTATTGGCACTTATACTAGTATAAAATCTCTGAACATGTTTAAATCATTAATTAAATGTGGTATTACAAAGAAAGCTATTGTACCAAATTTTACATTGGTTGGACATGAATCGTCAAGAGGTATTTACGAATACTATTTGGAATACTTCAAAAACGATCCCGAGCTTCAATATAGCAATCAAGCTCATGAAACACAGATTTTTTGTCAATAATCTGACACTATCCGATTTTTTATGCGTCTCAGACGGCTAACTTTCTAACTGTAAACGTATAAACATTATATATAATCACAAAAAATTTAATCAAGTGCGTTCGATAACACTTCTTAACCATATTTTATTTATGAATATATTATGATAACTCAAACACATATCAACAAAGAATATTTTAGATAATTCTATGCAATCTCGACATTGCATTCTATCGTCTTAACTAGATATTCCATTAATTGGTTCAATGCTTTAGTCGGTCAATACCAAGATATCTTCGTTGATAGTATATTTGTCTATAAGGTTTATCCATGGAAAGCTTTTCACATTTGCGAAAAACACCTTTTTCGTACTTTACTTATCTAGTTAAGTACTTATTATAATCTTCAAAGAATTTTTTGTTCTACTAAGGTTTGATCGAAATATTAATATTTTAATAGCTTCATGGAGATCTCTCTGTTTTGACATACTTGTATCTCGATCAAATTTCAACAAAAAAAACGAATTCTTCGTGTTATATATGTTTCGTCATGAACAATCTTCTCAAGGCAATAAGTAGTAAAGTCTGCTTTGTCCTCAGGCATTGTTATGGGGACATCAAGAATCAATTTACTAAGCAACGGATTCATAATAAGTAGATGAGATAATTTATCGAGTTGTTCTGCTCGCCTTTCCAGTGCAGCGAATAGTAACGCTCTGATTTGTATTTCTAAATTTATGCAAGAATCAACAATGCTCCGAAATTTTAATCTTTTCTTTGATACTTCTACACTTAATGTGCCGCCTTCTATTGTATACAATTATGTGACAATCTTTCAAGCAAAAATCCTGTAGAAGCAGTACGGTACTCGATGTTAACCTCAACATGATAGTTTATGCAACGCAATGCATCGGTATGGCAATCAGAAAATATTCGACTGCCCTGTGTTTTGAGTTGTTTTAGAACTGTTGAAGCCATTTTGTTATTACTGAGCAGCAATGTCTCAAGCGCTTATGGATGCAAGAGAAACTGAGTGTGACAGAGATCAAGAAAGAATAAGAGTCATCATGTTTTTTCGCAAAACATCACCGAAATATTTCGCTCCTTTATTTCTGATGTTATTGTTGGTAAGATTCCATGTAGTGAGTGCTTATGTGTAGAAGAGAGATTAGATATGAAAAATATGAAGAGAGAGTGAGTGTCACTATGGGTATGAATGTATAAGTGCGGTTGGAAAGAAAAAATGAATCTATACCCACACTCATATCTACACACTGGCGGAAACTTTCAATCAAATTCATCGATATAAAATAATTGTTGAGAAAAGATCTTCATGTTTTCTCTATAAGAAGTTGAGACAATCTCTTTAATATCAAGCACATCACATTGAAAACTGAGAGACTTTATTGTCGTCTACAAACAAAAAAAAACATTACAAAAGACGAATCACACATTCAAAAAGAAACTTGAGTTAACGATGTCTTTCGTTGTTTATTACGCTTGATCAGTTCATTCAAACAATTTATAAGTCTTATTATGATTCCATTGAAGGAGAGATCTAATGTGGTGAGTGTCTATATGACAAAAATACAGAGGTGAATATGACAGAGATTGATAGAGGATGAAAATCACCATGTTGTCTCGTAATGCTTCAACCAGATGTTGTCCTCCAATGTCTCGAATCTGATTGTAGGAGAGATCTAATGTCAACAGTGTCTGTGTAAAAAAAAAAGTGTAGATAGAGATGTGAAAGAGATACGAAGAGAATGAAGGTCACTGTGTTATTTCGTAATGCATTAGCTAGATGTTGTGCTGCTTTGTCTCCCATTTGATTGTGGGAGAGATCTAGTGTCGTGAGTGTCTGTATGAAAAAGTGCAGATGGAGTTATGAACAGCGTGATAAGAAGGTAGAGGTAACCCTATTATATCGTAATGCATCAGCTAGATATCGTGCACTATGGTCCCTGATTTCACTGTGTTCGAAAATTAGTGTTGTAAGTGTCTGTATAAAAAAATGCAGATAGAGGTATGAAAGAGATGAATAGAAAATCAAGATTACTCTGGTATTTTGTACTGCGTCAGCTAGGTGTTGTGCTCCAAGAGCTACAATCCCATGACAGGAGAGATGTAGTGTGGTGAGTGGCTATATGTAAAAGTATATATGAGAATATGAACAAAACGAATATAGAATGAGCATCACATTTCTATTATATCGTAATGCATGTGCCAAACCTTGTATACCATAGCCTGTGATTTTATTGGAAGAGAGATTTAGCGTTGTGAGTGTCTGTGTGAAAAATGCTCATGACGATATGAGAGAGGCGAATAGCGAATGAGGATCACCGTGTTGTTTTGTAATGATGAAACTAGATATTGTGCACCGTCATCTCTAATTTGATTAGAGTAGAGATTTAGTGTGGTGAGTGTCTATGTGAAAAAATACAAATGAAGATATGAGAGAGATGAATAGAGAATGAGGGTCACATTGTTATCCTGTAGTGCATTGGCTAGATGATGTACTCCTTCGTCTCCGATTCGATTGAAGTATAGATTTAGTTTAATGAGTGTCTGTAAGAAAAAGTACATTAGAGAATATGAGACAGGTTAATAGAGAATTGGGATGACTGTATTTTTTTGTAATGCATTAGCGAGATGTTGTGCTCCATCGTCACCAATTTTGCCGGAACAAAGACTTAACGTTGTGAGTGTCTATGTGAAAAAGTGAGGATTTGAATATGCAAAAAATGAATAGAGAATCAAGGTCACATCGTTATCTTGTAATGCATCAGCCAGATATCGTGTTCCTTTGTCTCCAATTTCATTGAAAGAAAGATTTAGTGTTTCCAGTGTCTGCATTAAAAAGTATAGATGAGAATATAATAGAGATGAGTATAGAATGAAGATCACCGTATTGTTTCGTAGTGCATCAGCCAGATGTTGTGCTCCTTCGTCTCCAATTTCATTTGATTCAAAATCGAGTGTAGTCAGTGCCTATGTGAAAAAGTGTAGATAGGAATATAATAGGGATGAATAGAAAATGAAGATCACTGTGTTATGTCGTAATGCATCTGCCAAATATTTTGCTCCATTGTCTTCGATATGATTGAAGTATAGATTTAGTTTAATGAGTGTCTGTAAGAAAAAGTACAGATGTGTATATGAAAGAGATAAATCAAGAATAAAGATCACTGTATTATTTCGTAATGCATCTGCCAGATGTTTTGCCCCGTTGTGTCCGATTTGATTGCGGTCGAGACGTAATATTGTGAGCGTCTGTGTGAGAAGTGAAGATGAGGATATGAAAGATATGAATAGAGTATAAAGATTACTCTGTTATTTCGCAATGCATCTGCTAGATGTTTTGCCCCGTTGTCTCCGATTTGATTGCGTTCAAGACGTAGGAGTGTAATTGTCTGTGTGAAAAAGTGAAGATTTGGCGATGAAAACAATCAGTAGAGAATGAAGGTCACTTCGTTATTTTGTAATACATCGGCCAGATGTTGTGCTCCTTTGTCTCCGATTTCATTGAAAGAGAGATTCAGTCTTGTGAGTGCCTATATGAAAAAATGTAGATAGGAATATAACAGAGATGAGTAATGAATGAAGATGACTGTGATATTTCGTAATGCATTAGTCAAATGTTGTGCACCGTGTCCTGTGATTTGATTGGACTCAAGATTTAGTGCGGTGAGTGTCTGTATGAAAAAGTGAAGATGGTAATATGAGAGAGGTGAATAGAGAATAAAGATAACCGTGTTATTTTGTAATGCATTAGCCAGATTTTCTGCTCCGTTATCTCCGATTTGTTTGTATTCAAGATCTAGTATTCTGAGTGTCTGTATGAAAAGGTGAAGATAAGGATATGAAAGAGATGAGCAGAGAAAGCAAATGACCTTGTTATTTCGTAATGCATCAGTTATATGTTGTATACCGTTGTCTCCGATTTGTATGTGTTTGAGACTTAGTGCCTTTAGTGTCTGTGTGAAAAAGTGCAGATGGTGCTATTTTATGGTGAATAATAGAAAGGCGAAATGAATTTGAATTCTATTGACTGATATGTGAACAATGAAGACAAAAGGGCATTCTATTAAAAAAGACTTCGGTATTAATGAAATACACAATTCTAGCACATATTTACGTAACAAAATGTCGTTGGTGTCTCTTCTTGATAGTGAATTATTGGTTAATGAAATTTGTCAACAACATATCGACAGTTCTAACTTGTTTCCTTCAATTACAGATTTGTTCAATATTGCAATGTTGCTTATTCTTATGCTTCAGCACTGGATTAAGGTTTTTCTGTATTAGTGCATTAACTTTGATTTGAATTTGGAGCAACCGTATTTCTTAATTTAGCATTAAATTTTCTAGTGTAGACAAGGTCAAATATGAAAATTATCGTCAACGAGTAGGCGAGTAGAGTACTGGTTTTATGAAAGATGTTGTCGATGTGAGGATAAAGAAAGCATGGATATAGGTATTATTCTTTTCTCTTTGCCCACATCCAAGAATTAGTCTTGAGTTCTCCATGTTCATATTAGTGCATGTTCGAACTCAGAAGAGAGTATCTCACAACATCACATTCAAGATGAACTTCTGAATTAATAGCATAATGATGATGATGAGGTCGTCGTTCATAAGATAATATGAAAAATCGATGAGAACATGAGTAACACTGATATTGAGGTGTTTTTGTGCCGTCCTTTCTGGTCGGCAGTTATCGGACACAAGACGAACGTCCTTTGTGAACGATCTTATATAAATCCAATACTGAATGCACACTAAAACCAATGTATTGAAGCATCACTCCGTTTCAGATTTCTATAATTTCCAAAAAACTTTTACTCGTATATGAAACTTATTTTCTTGAAATCATTACGAGGTATCGATATGTGTAGATCTGGGTATGATTGCGAGTGTCAGTAAAGAGAACGCTCACAGTCAAGTGCTCAAGTATACATGTCATGGTCTTTTCGAAATGCAGATACTCGCGCTGATCTGCATTTACATATGACAAATAAGAGCATCAACAATCATCTTCGTTTACTTCACAGCATACTATAGAGGACTTCGCAGTGTGACATTCTAACGAGGATTCATTCTAGATAAATCATTAATGGCTCTTTATCTCAAACCATCTGTCTGACAAGCATGCTATCTACATTGCGACCTACATCTGCCCTCATGATTAGTATGTAGTTCGTCAGTGTGTATCGGACGTTCAAGCGATTGAATACAAGAGCTCTGCATCAGACTAATCGTTCTTATATATCTATAGCCATTATTAGTTGTAAGAAAGATATATGGTTACTGATTCTATCGCGAGACAGAATCACTTATTGCTAGGTACATTTCAACTGCGTTAGGATTACGCTAAAAGCTTTTTGGAAAAGCTTGATGTAGAACTCTAAACGAAAACATGCCAGAGAAAACTGAAAAATATGATTTCATACTCCTGTGTTACGTCTTTCCTATTATAACCATCGTGAACGTCTGCTTTGTTTCTATCGAAAGATATCAACAAAAACTACTGCATCTTATCCTATTTTAAAATGCATACTATTTTTATAATTCGACCATTCAACATTTAAAGATTGTGAAGTAAACCTTTGCAATATTATCGACTTTTGCCACAAAATTGAGCTTCACACAAAAGAATACTATATAGGTACCAAGTTCTATTCCTTCAAAATTCAAGCAAATATTTAGTTTCTTTCACTCTTGATCTTATGTGAAAGTGCAACCACTTATATTTGACAAATATTTTTCAACGATGTTGAACACATGTTCGGAAATAGTCGTGTTTGGAATTCTCGTTCTGAAATGCGATTTTTACTGTACTCGTACTTGAGAAAGTCTATAATTGTTCAGCTGTGATTTATGACCAATTCTGGTTTCAAACATACTTAGTCACATACCTCATCTGGAGTGTTATCAACCATTGTATCTAGTGGTCGTTGAGTTAGACGACACGTATTGTCCATCCACGATACTTCACATCTGAGTACATCTTCGTTGTCAAATATGTCGGTAGGCGTCGTATAAAGCCAAATTTCATCCGATTCTGGAGCATACGCACAAGTTACAAACCAACGTTTGGTTTGAACCCAAAATTGAGCTCGAAATGGAGCAACAAGTGACTCGAGATTAATGAAATGGTCGTTTGTATCATATTGATAAGCGAAGAAGAATTCAAGTTTATCTAGATTGGGTAGTTTGCTACCAGTAAGTTGTTCCCAATAAGAGGCATCGAATACAGAGTCAAATTGTTGCCTCTTAGAAATCAGTTTGAGATGGCGAAGTGATAGTACTGATAGAAGTATCAATTCGAAGTCTTGTATACGAAGTGAACTGGCAATAATGCTCAAAGACTTCAGTGACGAACGTACTATAGATGCAGTGGTTGAAATCAGCGTATTATCCATATCACCTGCAGTGTAGCCTCGTACAACGAGAGCTTGTAAATGAGGTAATCGATCAAGAATGTCCAAATAGTTGCTATAGCTGCAACTGAACACTGCTAAGTGCTTTAACGTGCATGAAACTGGCCATACTATGTCTGTTGTATAAGGTACATTACCAACACATAGTTTTTGAAGATTCCATCGATTGATTACTGATGGAACTAGAGTCCATGCTATGCTAAACATACCTTCGCTTGTTTCTATTGAAAGTGAGATCAAAAATGTAGTATTCAAATTTTCAAAGAGATACTCTAAGTCCGCATCTGGTATTTCATAAAGACTTAGTGAACGTAATCGAGTAAATTGATGAAAACTGAATGGCAAACGAAGCTGATCTACTCGACTTCGTTTGTTATCTGATCGACAACGATCAAATAGTGAGGTAAGCCGGTAAATCAATGCATCCGTCCAACAGTCATGGTCGATCGTTAATGAAACGACAAATTCAGGTCGAATAAAATGAGCAAGTGCCGTTGTAATGTCGAGTGATTCTGGGTCCAAAATAAGCTCATATCGATCATAAGTGTTGACCATGGCATACATTTGTTGACAGATCGAACGAATCGAACCAAGAATAGTGTGTGTATCACAATAATCAAATATGTTATGGACCAATTCAACAGGTAGACCAAGAAAAGACACATTCGGCATAGAAGCAGTAGTCATAGTAGATAAAATTACAGATGCAATGTTCTAGGAGTACGAGAGAAAAATATCAGTTATGTTTTCTGCCTAGTTCTCTGAACTTGAGCGACGCAATGTAACTATGAAACTCATGCTATCAGCTGAATTTCAACTATTGAATAATCTTCCATGAGAAACATGTAGAAATCCAATGAGTAGTGCTATCAGATAAGACAGAATGAAAAAAACTATTCAATTGAAAGGAACAACGTGTGCTTGAAATCTATACTGATATGTATCGCCAATGGAGAATATGCTGGAGGCTTTTCTAAATAGAACACAGTATCAGCTGAGTCCCAATTACATCAGTTAAAGATCAGATGTGCCTAGCAGATAAAACATGTTCCTATCTATTGAATAAATAGAGTCTGAAGCGTATAATTAAATTTACGAGACCTTGCACGCTTACATCTCTATGCTTTATATTCACTAAAGTATGCCGCAAGGAAACGTTCATAGTCGATAAGAAAATCTTTATTTTTCTTTGAAAAAAAATGAATTCCATCGATTGATTTCAGACATGTTCTGGTTCATCGTCGAAATCAAAGTTCTGTCAGACGAAAGCTTCTAGTATATTTTTGTATCATCTACTCTCACGTTCCTATATGAGTTCGATTGATCCACTGAGATTCGTATTAGAGTACTGCATCATGTCTCAAAATCAGGAATGTATGCACATCTATTATGGTATCTAGTGCATTCATATGGACATTTCTAGAATACTGAACTCTATTACGCATTCTGAACATTTTTCAGAAAACACAATATCTATTATCACTTTTCATCTTTACAATAAAATATTCTTTCTAAACTCTCGACATGGTTAACTGACTTATACATGTGACTATATCATAATTCTATTCTCGTCACTGTTCAAATGATATTTCAAAAAGGAATGTTGATTTTTATTTTTTTTTGTAGAATTTAGATTTATTTTCTATAAGATTGAAATCAATTTTACAACATCACTAAAAATTTTTGTCAATCTTCCAATTCGTTCGAAAAATCAAGCATATTCTGCTAGTTTTAAAATCATTGGACGATACCGTAACACCTAGAAAATGTTCGAACTTTTGATATCTTGGTTTTACAAAATGTACAGTATCATAACAACAAAAGAGGAGAGGAAGGTCAATTTTTTTAAAGATTATGACGCTAATAAAAACTGTGATTAGTTCATAGAACATCTCCTACATAAGTTGAAAATAAATTATACTCACATATCCAAAGATACTGAAACGTATAAATAATATTTTTTTGTGTGTTCGCAATTAGCTTTGCTGTTTATTAATCGATGACGAAAATCACTTATTTTTTCAACTTGTGTCTCAGTATGCGCACAGATAAAGCGTGAAATTTTCGTAAGGTAAGCAGTTGGTTGTGTAAGTATACACTTGCCATTGCACGTGTTCGCTTCTTTTACCATATTCTTTCTCTATACATCTATTTTTCTTTCTTCTTTTGCATTACACGTCATCAAACCAAGAAAACGTACACCGATATTTCCACATGCCAATGTATTCAAGTAGGATGTCAACATTTTTTAATATCATAGAGAAAAAAGAATACTAGTAAGCTCTTGATCAAGGCAGCAAAAGCTCAAATCACATTTCTCTTTTATAAAATTGACCTTTTTTTTTATTTTTTATTAATTTTAAAGGAAAAAAATTAATAAAGTAGTAACGATCTCTAATTACCAAGTGACATCTTATCATAAAGAAAAACTATATAAACAATGAGTCTCGTTATACTAATGATAACAGGAAGAAGTTGTGTAACTTTCTCGTCTTTTTTTTTCCAGGTAACATAGGTATTTTTCTTGTGCATACGAATGATAAAAGCATATTAAGAATTAAAAGACAAAATATGATTTAATATAAAATTAAAACTGAAATTGTCATAAATACACATATGAATTATTATTGATAGTTAACCATTGACATATTTTCAAATTCGTAACACCTTGATGTAATCTGATCATGTCACAAGTTCACTGAAAGAAAAGTATCGTGAAATACACCGCATAAAACTATTTCTCATTATATTATGACAAAAATATCGAAAATGGAAAACTGTTGATTTATTTCTGAACAAAGAAATTATTTCAGATAAGATGCTGCAGTATTAAAAACCAAATTTTGCTTTTTTTTTTCTGGTTACAGTTCTACAACTTTCGCTGATCACAATGAAAATTAAAAAAAAAAACATTAAACTTTGTCGTACTATCTCAATTCCTAAATAATTACTATCCTGTATTTATTATTATCTACAAATTTTCATTGATTATCATATGAATTTTATTAAAGAACGACAAAACATAAAAAGCTCAATATTAATCTGTACATTCTTTCATGCTTTTATTCATTCCCTTTTGTAAATAACTTAAATAAAAAAAATGTGCAAAAAGAATTAAATAAATAATATAAAGTACAAGTGAAACTATAATATTACTATTTGATGTCATACAGTAATATCCATCTTGTTTATATTTATATGCAACAGTATTAACTATACAACCAATAAACATTTGAATAACTTGAAGAATTGTAATAGATTGTTGAATAAATCGAGGAACTCGAAAACGAGCAGCTCGTAATGCAAAATAACTATACATTATTGTATGAACGCATAGATTCATCGATGTAAACCAACGACCAATTGGTGCAAAAAGTCCATAACTTAAAAATATTTATAGAAAAAAAAAAAAAAAAAAATAATTTATTTCTTTTCAATAAAGAAAAGAATAGATTAAATTTTAAGTATAGAACTTAATATATTAAAATTTACCTATAAAAACAATAAACAAGTACTGAAGCATGATGAAACCAATGTAAAAAGATTAATTGTTGTCTTCGTAATACAATAAATAATGTATCGATTGTTTCTGGTACTTTTGAAATAATAAATAACCACAACCTACAATATTAATTAATATAAAAAAAAAAAAAAATAAATAAATCAATAATTTACCATAATCCTGTTACACCTTTTTTTAATATTGGATTACATAATGAATGATAAAATCCATGTTTATTCAATGAATGTAAAAGTTCAGGTACACATCGACATGCACCACAAAAACTAAATACGGCTAAAAAAACATTCCAAACAATCAATGCTTTTCTTAATTCAAATTTTTTATTTCTTTTTCTCATCCATATTTGACCAATACATATAATAATAATATAAACTAATACAAACGGAATACTTAACCACCACCAATTATACATAAAATTTTCGATTAATAAAAGATTTTTTTCATTAAATAGTATTAATTCAAAATCAAAAACCCATCGATGAACAACATCACTTGGATCTCTTATCGATGAATACATTTTCATTATATGATACTGAATTGTTTCTTTTATTGATCTCAAATAAATTCATTCTTTTTTCAATTGTATTTCTGCAATTGTTCTTAAAAGGACGAAGAAAAAAAAACACTTGAGCGTGTGTTAATATATTTGCACTTGTTAATATTTGAGTATAAATGAATAATTTAAAATTGTCAAATGAATTATTTATCGATGACGTCAATAATTTTATTTTCATTATTGTAAATTTAGTCTTTTGATTTATTTATTAGAACTATTAATAGGACACTTTTCTGACATGATCTACAGATCAAATTAAACCGACTGATGTTTTTAGTTTTTTGAAAACCATCATTTGTATCATGAAGGCAAGAACAATACTAGACGAGCAACTTAGGTTCAATCGGGCTCGAGGTCGGTCTGTGTCAATTTAGCGCTTGAAATTCATTCTTTTATAATAAAAGGTATATTCAAAGTAAGTGCAGTTCAAGATTCTGGTTGCATATGTAGAAATGACAATAGAAAAAAAAAACTGGTACACTATGCTATTTGTTTTTAATAAGTAATTAAAAAAAAAGAAAACATTAAGATTTGACTAATTATTATCTATTAAACTATTGTTCTTGGTGCTCGTGATAAATCGATCGGTATTTGTTTTGGATCATTGAATATAAGCCATTTTTCTTCTGGTATACCTTCAAAAGCATCTCGAAAACGTTGATCATCAAATGATTCATCATTAACTGCTCGTATAAATATAGCACGTATACGTTCAGGATATTCTCGTGTAATTGTTCCATATATTTCTGGATCTTTTTCTCCACTATCACCAATTAAAACAAAATTTCGTATTGTATTTAATAGAAAAAAACGTAAATATTTTATTTTATGATCAAATGTTGATTGAGAATGAAGAAAATCAAATAAAGATATTATTGCCCAACGAAAATGTCGCATATGAAATGATCCATTAGGAAAATTATTACTATTGATAAATTCTTGTGTTAATGTATATAATTGATCAGGCATACTTGATAAATAATGAAAAGTACAATTTTTATTATGTATTTGCCATTTTTGATATAAATCAGACATACCTATAAAACGAAAATAATTGAAAATTTCAAAAAAAATATTATTTACCTGATACAGGTTTAAATGGAAAAATAAATGTATTGGCAAGAAGACGTATTTTATCAAATACTTCTGAAATTTTAATAGTATCATCAATATCACTAATTATTGAAATACCTTGATTAGGTTCAATAAGTCGTATAATTCCTGTTGAATTTTTTTTATCATTACTCATAGCTTCATATGTAATCACATTATTATTTTGTTGTTGTATTTTTTTAAATTTTTGTATATCATCATTTGTTATTTCAATTTGTTCATAAAATTGACCATTTGTATCTGTACGAATTAATTCTATTTTATTACCAATTATAATTCTAATAATTTGATATGATTCATCAGAAACAAAAAATGGTTGAAGTCGATTATCAGTAATCGATCCATTAGGATATAAATTATCATTTTGATTAATAAGATGTTGAGTTAATCGTTGTATCCATAAACTTGTAGTAATTTTCAACCAATCTTTTAGTCCATTATTTTCATATTTCCAACCATGTACTATTATTTTCCATGTATTATTATTATTTAATGATTGAAAAGCAACATCAGGAAACAGAAGTATTTTATGTTGATAAAAATGACGATTATCAATATTAAATTTATTAACTATATTTTGTTTTATTATTTTCCATAATTGACGAACTTGACGTTCTTTTAGATGATTTCGACCATCAATAATAGTAACAAAAACCAAGAATATGAAGAATACAGTTGAATACATAGCCATAAGTATTATAATAAAGGTAAACTTATGTCATAGAAGTACACTCAAAAACGTGGAATAAAAAAAAAAGTAACAGAGCAACTCTGTGTCGTATTTTATATAAAAGAGAAAAAAACGAACTAATATACAAATGATTGTTCGAGCAGTAAAACTAATAATGCGATAATGTATATATGAATAAACGTTAATATCAGAGAATATTTTACCGATCAAATGAATAAATATGATGAGTCATTATCAAATCCTTTTCATCAATAGAAATTCAAGTATTTTACAACAACAAAAAAATATATATATACAGAATAGTTTATTATATTAATGCACATAAAAAGAAAGATAATTCATTATAATTTTTATAGAAAATACATTGTTATATATTCCAGATAGACATAGACGATGCAAACTAAAATTTCTAGAGGAATTAATAAATTTTTATAAATGATTAATTCTAAAAAATATTTCAGCTCAAATTTTATTTTTCGATATAAATTCATTTACAATAGTATTCAAATCAGAGAATTTGTATTTACAATAACTCCATTAATAATCGTACTGTAACACGTATTAATGTACTGCTTATAAATTTGTCTGTTCATTTTGAAATCAATATTCAAATAAACAATATGAAAACGAAAAGAATAATAATAAACATTGTTTTCTATTCGCAGAAAAAAAAAATGATCATGTGATTATTCCGAATAAATAGAGAATGTTAAACGAAAAATGATAAGCAATGTTTTAGTCACATGAGTATACTCTTTATTTATTATCATACGGTGAAAGTGTGATACAACATATATCATAGAGTAAGAACACTACTGACACACTTACATATCAGCTGACATCTTTGTTGAAAATAATTATATGACATACGTAGGACATGATAAGTGCACTCTTTTTTTATCGAAAATGTTTTTAGGATTAGCTATGCAAAAGTTAAATATTTATATTTGTTAACTTCTATTTTTAGTTCAACAATTCGATTAGATAGATTCATATTTTTTCTGAATAATGCATTTGAATATAATGTCATAAGAACTATTGAATTTAGAATCATGGATATTTTATTAAAAATAATTAAGACAAAAAAAAAAAAACATGAAGAAGAACCAAGTGACATAAAAAGTATAGTCATTGATAAGGAGAAAGAAAATAACGAGTGCAGTTCATTATTATTGCACTTGAATAATGATTTCTCTTCATGATGATTTAACGAAGATGCATCATTAAAAATTCTTCTCGTGTCTGGTATCCATCCCAGATACCTTTCGATTCAGATTGAGGCATTGTTTTATAATGAATTTTCCATTCAGACAATAACGATGAATCATTGGTATCGGTACTAGACAAAGACGTACTACGCGAATCATTATCTCTATATAAAGACGGAAGATATATTTATAACCTATATATTATGTATAAGAAATCTAATTTACTTGGAATAGGAACCAATTCCAGACATTTTGGATTAAAGGGAAATTTTAAAAAAGATGATATTGATAAATGAAGTTATAAAAGACTAAAAAATTGAATTTAAAATAAACAGAAATTTAATGTTGAAAATATAAATCAATCTTTGAGAACAGCTTTGCCAAGAGATGATGCAGGTTGCTATATAAAATAAAAAGAGATCAATATTTTTATTGTTAAATTTAATCATAATATGAACTTACATTTTTCCAAGTTTTACGAACTGGTTTAGCTTTATGTTTCGAACTTAACATTCAGATAGACATATGATTTAATGAATGAAATCTAAAAAATATACACCATTTTATACTCCTCACGAAAATAATCTTTTTCTTTCATAAGATAAACGAAATAAGACTTACAAAATAAAGTGTGGTTTGATAATATGCAAAGTTTAAAACTGACTAATGTGAAAATAAAACATCTTGTGCTTATTTCAACAAAAAAAAAAAGAAAGTGAAAGGGCAAGAGTAAATACAGTATACTGTAAAATGAAAAAAACAGAGATCAAAGTTCAGTATTATATCATACAGCTAACGCGTGATATCTATTTGGTTGTCTTACAACCATTCATTGCGTAGCTATGCTATTTACTCCAGTAAAAATATGACTTGTGAAACCTTTTATAAGATTTTATTTTTTTAATTTGTACTTTCAAAATTCTTCACATGTCATAACATTAAAAGCATCTCTAATACCTTTAGCTAGCAAAGGTTGAACCTATTCAATGAACGATTTATCCAATTTGGTCACTATATTATTTTCTGATTGAATGAATTATATTATTGTAGTGTTTTTTAATAAATCTTATTGCGCGCATGTTAGATAAGTATAATTTAAGCACAAACTGATTATTTGAATATTCAAAAATGACTTTAGATATTGTTCTTGCAGTCATCTGATTTAATGAAATAATTGTTCTACATCACTATTCATTTTCCATCTTCTTTTGTTGGATTCTCTTTAAAAATGCATCCCAATCTTCTTCTATTATATTATTATTACTATTAACAGTTTTGTTGTTATTAGTCGATAACATTTGCATGACAATTAATAATTGTTCATTATGAATTGTTATTATTAGTTCATAATTTTTTGTTCGTAAACGAAGTGCTTGAATATTATCATTTGGATCATTATTACGAACAAGATGACGAGCAAATAAACATAAAGGTGCCAAAACAGAAACCCAATTTTTTAAAGTATCACATTCGTAAAGAATGCGACCATCCATAGTTGCTACAATTACACCATGAACATCATCTCTAGTCGATAAACGTTTTAAACAACCTTCCATGTCTTGACGTCTGATTAAAGAGAACAAAAAAAAAAAGCATAAATATTCGATTTATATCTATATGAGTTGTTTTTTTACTTAATAATAGTATTACGATCAATATTTTCAATACGATAAGAACATGATTGAATAAAATTCTTAGCAGATATATCTTTTTTTTGTTCATTAATAAGTAATGTATGCACTAATGATGACGATTCACCTTGTCCAGTTAAAGATGATTTTGTACTTTTCTGCATTTAATTTTATTCTTCTATGAATAAATGTTGATTCAACTTAATTAAGATCTTTTTGTTTTTCTAGACATATTTAATGAATTGATTTCAAATAATCGAATTTATACCGATGAAATGCAGCGAGAGCAAATAATGATAGTTGAAATGATTAATTATGACTAGCACTAGCGATAATGAACTCTGTGGGTGCGAAATATAGAGTTGAGTATCGAGAAAACGCTAGATTGCATACAAAATAAATAATTATTGGTCGAATATATCAAAATAGTCCTCATATCTGATATCAAAATAGATGATATATTGAACGTAGATTGTAACAAATCTTTATTAATAATCAATTTAAGTTTCTTTGTTTTATTCAAAATAATTGTGTTATATACTCAGTAATTTTTCACGAGCATACAGTTGCACTAAGAAATGGATAGATTGTGTTTAGTATTTTCAACATATTGGATGGATAAATGGAGAAAAAGAGAGAGAGAGAGACAAGTATGACATATTGAAGATTGATGCAAATTTCTTTTTTTTGTCATGCTTGCTGTGCAATAACGATGTTATTACATATCTGATAATAGTTGGCATTTTTTTCACGAAAATGGCTCTCTCAAATGAACCTTTTTGTCAATGTAAAATAGCAGCATAAAAATTGTGCGAACAGCATTTGACCTTCACACTAAACTACTACAATTTGACATCTTATGACCTTGTGAAGACTGTTTTCTCAACTCGCAAGAGAGTTTTCATGTCTGTCATGGTTATGTTTTTTTATTTGTTTAACAAAGTGCAAATTTGATCAACTGATAATGAAGTTACTATTAATTATGATTGATCTCGAGTATTTGATATTCATCTTAATCAAATTCGATTTGAAAAAATAGAACGAGCGAAAAATAGTATTTGAAATCAGACGGAATATCCAACCGCATAAAGATTTAAATCGGCGGTATCTGATTTGATTCGATCGGCTCGGACGAAGATTTTGTGATTATCAGAACAGTAAACAAAGGATAATGTCTCCGAGTCATAGCCTGCAGCAGCTTGAGAATATCATCTTAGACGTTTGAAATGAAAATATGCACCTTGAGAACCGCCGCAGTCCGTCCAAATCCACAGCCCAACAGGTGTATCTGAAGTCATTCCTCCATTCGTGATGG